CTACATGTACGTTTTTATGGTACTGGAAATCAAACCAAAGGCCTTGAAATGTGAGCCAATGTGCTAGCATTGAGCCATTCATCTAACATTATTTGAAGTTTTAAATACATAATAACTGAATATTACATAGATATATTTCATGAAACCAACAAAATTAGTGAAACAATAGTTAATAATATTAAAGCATACTTATTAATTGCATAAGAGCATGATCACTCAGAATCCTAGAAAAGGAAATAATATAAAAAAAATCAATCAAGTTAGACACACTCCTTCTTTCAACTACATATGTAAATGTATTCATACCTTCAGAGAAACACCTTAAAATTCCATATATTTAATTCTAATGAATTTTAAAACAGTGTATTCAAGAAAATATGGAAAATATCATATAAAGCTCTATTCTTATTTAACATAGTAGAATTCTTTTGGAAGATAATTTTCTTTCTTTCATTTTGCCATTTCTTCTGCTCTTTTCTATAGCGCAGTGAAATAATTGGATTTATTTTAATATCAGCTATTGTATTTCAACAGAGCATAAAATAGACATTGTTGTTTTTTTTTTTTTTTTCAGACTTTCTGTGCCTTCTCTTCTTTTCTGGAGCCCATTTTGTCTGCTATGGTTATTTAAAGCCTTATTTTCTCCCAAACATTACATCCTCATTAAATTCTCTATGCCAAATTACCATAACATACTTCATAATGGCATGTGTTCATTTATAATTTATAAAGAATATCAGAATAGAATTTCTCCTGAGCACATACAAAATAACTAAACACAATGCGTACAATTGTCTTAGTAATGTAAATTATTAACATAAAGTCTACAAGAAAAGATGTTATATATCCAGTTTAAGATGGCCAACTGTGCCTGGAGTAGTGACACACACCTTTAATTCCAGCAATTAGGAGGCATAGACAGGTGGATCTCTGTGCGTTCAAGGCCAGTCTGGTCTAAAGAGTGAGTTTGAGGCCAGATGGGGATACAGAGAGACAAGAAAAAGATGGCCAACTGCATTATGAATATGAAAGAATGTTATTCATGTAAGCAAAGATACTTCTGTCACCAATCATCTCCTTTAACATTTCCAACATTATATATTACATACTGAAAATTATATAAATTACATAGACTTTGCAATTACATATATGTTTGTGTATATATCTATGTTTAACTATATATCAAGATACTAAAAGTAAGCGTTAAAGGGAGATAGTGACACAGTGAGAGATAGAGATAGAAAGATATGGACAAAGATCAGGAGAGTTTTAACACTAAAATTGTCAATGGCTCAGCATGACTCAGCATTTTGAGCATTGCATTTTCCAGTTTTTTACACACATTTATGTTGAAGCCTTGCAGTGTTTGAGATCTAAATAACATTCTGCTTCCCACCATTAATTTTTTGGGTGTAGTTTATCTTAATCATCTACCATTGTGCATTTGATATTCATATATCCTACCTACTTTTGGTAGCAACCCACAGATACACAAACAAAAGCACTTCATATGTGTGTTTAAAGAAACACAGAATATACTCAGATCTCATTTAAAGCCTATGAAATACCAAGTATTTGTCATTATTAGAATTATGTATAACATCTACATACCAGATTGCTAGAAGACATCTATGTATCTTTATCATTTTAATAGCTTGTCATAACAACCTAAAAGTCTTATCATTTTCCACACCCATAGAGGCTATAAAATCCTAGATTCCGTTAAGCCCTTATTTTCACTCTGCATAATTACTGAGATAAACATGAAACTAACTAGGGGTTAGCATGGCAGTCATTTCCCATCATGGAAGAAGCACCAAGTTAGTATGACATATGGCCCCAACAAAACCTGAGCTCTGGTCTTTACTGGGAAGTAATTACTTACTGGTTCTCAATTTAATCATTTTTTTCAAATGAGAATAACAGTACTTACTATATAGAAATAAGAGAACCAAGAGTACATTATTTAAGGTAATGGAAGAATGAAATACACAATTGTTAATTAACATTACTAATGCTTTCAAAATTCCCATCATCCTCATAGGAAATTTCTTTTTCCATTTTTCTAGATTCAACAATGACCAGTCCAGCAAGCTATCACTATTGGTGCAAAATTTGCACATTTATTTGGGGAGGGGATTCTAATTGGAATTACTCCACTTTCAATGGAGAGAACTTATATGTGGTACTGTAAACAAAACCAAATATATACATCATTGAAGATGTCATAATTTCTTATTGTATTCTAATTTTACATCCTCATATTTATAGACATGTGTACCTCTTACCACTAATCAAAGAATCTCTTTATGCAACTGAAAGAGAATATTTCAGAATTCCCCAACTGGTCAAATACAGAGAATAACTGTCCATGAGATGCTTAGCCCTAAGTGACATGTTTTTTTTTTTGTTTGTTTTTTTGTTTTGTTTTGCTTTTTTAAAATTGGTTTTTATTGAATTTTTGTGCATTTTATACAGAACATCTCAAACAATCTTAATCATCTTTACACCTCCATCCCCACTGGTACTCTCCCATAACCCTCCGTTCCCACTGGAATCCATATACTTTGTCATCCGTGTTAAGGTCCAATATGTCAAGTCAATGATGTCAGATGTTCCCCAGTGCAAGCTCATTCACTGAGGTCTGATCAGCCTATCTAAAGTCTCTTGTTTTAGGAAGAACAGCTCTTCCTCACCCAGCATTAATCAGTTGCCAATGTTTCTTCATGTAAGATTGGGATCTGATGTTCATTGCTCCAGTTCTATGCTGGGTTTTGTCTGCCTGAGTTTGCATGGAACTTGGGTATGCTGACAATATTGCCATAGACTTATATGAGCAGGGTCCCAGGAAATTGTAGGACTCTGTTTCCATATGGTCATGCATCTCCTCTGTGGCTCTTACAATCTTTCTGCCTCCTCTTCTGAGATTCTGTCAGAACTCTGGATGAGTTGAGTTTAACGTAGGAGTCTTTTCCAAGGACCAGAAATCTACAGACTCTTAATCTCTACATTATGGCCATTTGTGACCTTTTATGTTCCTGGCCTTCTGTTGCATGAGGGATCATCATTAATGAGAACTGACTAAGTGATAAATTTTCAGTGCAACCTCCACACATAAAATGAATGCATCTATAACTCTCACCTCCTCATGCAGCAGATGATGATTAACACACAAACCAATAATTTGTCAATGGGCAGAGAACAAGAGGCTGAAGAGGGTTAGTCCCTTAATAGGACACCTATTTCCTGTTTCTGTCTCCCAAGACTCAGGAATCATTGCAGAAGAGGGGTCAGAAAGACTGTAAGAACCAGAGGTGGTGCATAAGCACACATTAACAGAGTTTTCCAGATAGCTGGTCAGTTATACATACCAACTCATAGAAAAGGTAACAGTATGCACAAGTCCCATGCAAGATCAAATCAGACAAAACCTCAGCACAGAGATGGGGAAGTGGTAAGAAATCCCAATCCAACCTAATGGAATTTTGGCAACTGATGGCTGTTGGGAGGGGGAGAGAGAGTCATTTACAGGGATGAGATTCTTGGTAGTTTGACTAGGCTCCAGTGTTTGGACCCATGCTGAGGTTGTTTTGGAGACACATATCAGGCTCTGTGGGCCATATGATATATACAGTGGAGTACATTGAATTGGACAAGGGGCAGTGTGGGGAGGTGTGGATGAGGCAAGGGGATCTAAACCTTAGCAAATTACATTGTATGAAAACCACAAAAATTCAGTAGAAAAATAAAAAAATAATAATAAATAAAGATCTTCGAGATTAGACAACAAAGTATGACTGGTCCATGAACTTGGGTGTAAGGAGGTACACATAGATATGGTAGAGGTTTCGGGAGAGAATGATATGATCAAATACACTACGTTATGATCCCAAATAATTTAAAAAAAATTTTTTAAAGAATGAATATCAGAGCGGTAGTTCAGTGGTTAACAATGCTTCCTGCTCTTCTAGTACACATGAATTCAGTTCCCAGCATCCATATCACAAAGATTATGTTCTTGTAACAGGAAAATAAATGGTCACTGAGTGTTTTTTATTTCTGATTGAGATTATTTTACTAGCCAAATATAGCTAAATCAGAGTTCATGGGAAGTATATGTCAAGTTATAGAAATTATTTTGAATTTTTCTATGTCCTGTTTACTTTATCAGTAAATTAGTGTTCTCATTTTGGAGCCTCCTTACCTCTATTGAAGAAAAATTCCACATTTCTAATTGATGAATACTCTTACCATTGACGTTTCTACTACTCAAGAATATATTATATTCCAATATAGATATTGAAACCTCATTCAATGGGCCTTAAAAATACAAAGAATATTTATTTTCTTCAATGAATAACCACACTATTGCCTTTTAGGAAGTGTAAAGATTTTTTTGCAGATAGATAAATGAAAGATAGAAAACAAGTGATAGATACTGTATAAGGAGTTGGTGTCCATTTATTGTCTAATGACTAAAAAAAACTTTTGTTTTTACAATTACACATTGCAGTTATGAAAACTGAATATCAAAATAAAATGTCATCAGAATGCAAAAGTAAACATGAATCTATAAGTATCTAAGATTCAGTTCTATGATCCAACATCCTTGAGTTTTTCACTCTCATTTAATTTAAATAAAAATTTGTCTAAACTTCTAAAGTTGTAATAAAAATTATAACTTTGCTGTAAAGTCAGGTGTGGTGGCACACACTTTTAATCCAAGCACTGGGGAAACAGAGGGTGGTGAACTCCTGTGAGAGCAAAACCAGCCTGCTCTACATAGTGAGTTCCAGGCCAAATGTGACTTCAGTGAGACCCTTTCTCAAAAAGACCAAAAAAAAAAAAAAAAAAAGAACCCAAAAAAAAACAAAAAAAAAAAAAAAAAAAGAAACCCAAATAAAACAAACAAACAAACAAAAACAAACACCTGTGCTGTAACTATTTCTCGCAGTGCAAGATGTTTTACTGGCTTTACTTATTGAAACACCTGTAATTACCTGTGGCGGGAGAAGAGGAAGTCGTATAAAGGCAAGGAGCATACTCAAGTCACTGCATCTCCGCTGCATGTCATACTTCACCCACATCATTAATGCATGAAAGATGGTCTCTTCATCAGGAACATTGACATCATCACTGGCCAATAGTTTATGGAGCTCCTCAGCAGGAAGGAGTAAAAATTCTTGATTTCTGATAACTTCCATTATATTTTCCTGTGGGGATAAAACATCTTGGCATAAATTCTATTTTGCTTCTATTTGGCAGCAAAGCATCTGAGATAGAAATGAGAAAAGCAGTCAGTAAGCTTTGTTCTCATTATAATATAATCCTTGAAACTCAATCCTTCAGAAAATAGAAGCTGTTAGAATGAAAGTTTTGTAGTTGTAATTGAAGTGTAAATGTGTCTGAGACAGCACAGATCTTGTAATAACTGGAGGATTATAATGTTGAGATTTGTTATGCAGGCAGAATGTATTAGGTGATTAAATGTTCAAATTTCAAGAGTACTGCTCTGTAAGATATACCAAACAAGAAAAAATTAACATTTCACATTTTCAAAGGCTTGAGAATACATACATGAATCAGAAAATGGTAATACAATTAGATAGATTAATGTAACAGAAGGCTGCTTTGCTGTTTTTTCAAAGGGGCAAGAATCAGGACTCAGAGGCCACAGAAGTCACAGCATACTTCGTGTTCTATCTTCTGTTTTCTCTCTCAATTTCTTGTTATGACAGTTTTTTGGCTTAATTTTGTTCTTTATTTTTTAATATTCTATTGTTTGAGAATTTAACGTATGCCCATAATGTGCTTTGATCAAATCTACCTCCCATTCCCTCCCTTCCAGTTCCTCCTCTACTGCCCTCCCACAGCTATTCCTTTCCAATTTCATGCGTTCTTAAAAAAATACAAAACAAAACACTTTAGAGCACTTAGTGCTGCCTGTTTGTGTATGGGGGCAAAGACGTCTATTGGAGCAGAGTGTCCCCTCAAGGGCCATACCCCTGAAGAAAACTCACTCTCTCCCAGCAGCCATCAGTTTTATCACAATGATATTTCTCATTTATTTTCATCTGTCTAGCATAGTCTCCTGAGTGCTGTGCCTGTGTCTCCTCTTAGCTCTTTCACTGTGTTCTCCATAATGAAGAAAACATGGTATTTCCAAATTTTAAATGTATGTGTAGTATGGGAGACAGGCTTGAGCCTAGGGTGAAAGTCTTATTGACAGCCATACAGCAGGCCCAAGGCAACGGCCTGACTGCTGGAGCCACAAGAAAAGCGTTGTCACTTGCTCCCATTGGCAGGTCGTGAGACTGATGCCTAGAGCTCGCCACTCCCTAGTCACTACCCTTGGTCCAAATTGCAAAACTTAGATATTGCAACAGTCAGGGTCACGTGGTTTCCAGGAATCCAGGCTCTGTAATCTGAAACCCATTATGCTAATGAGGCATTCTACCTGCTATTCTGTGATAGGAGGTTAAGTCTCTTTTGCTAATAGGACGCTAAGTCTGTTATTCTAATAAGGTATCCTACTTGCTGTACTGTGATAGGACACTAAACCCATTATGCTAATAAGGTATCCTACTTGCTGTGGTGTGAATGGACCACTACCCCTATATAAGCCTGTACTTTCCAGCAATAAAGCAAACCTGTGTCACTGAATCTGGTCTCCTCTGTCTGAATGCAGCTCCACTGACACAGTCTCCTCACCAGCCCTGGGGTCCGGGACCAGGCAGAAGCAGCAATGATAGAAGGGGGCACTGGGCAAGCAGAAGAGCAGGCTGAGCCCAGGGCAGGCAGATGAGAGGCCTCAGCCAAGGGCGAGTACAGGAGCAGCCTCGAAGTCCATGAGAATGAAGGAGCAGCGCCAGTGAGAACAGAGGAGTGGCCGCTGCTGGTGGTGACCACAGCATAGCATCTTCAGTGTTTGCTTTTAAGGACTCATTAAAATTTATCTTTAAACACTGATCTCTTCTTATTATAATGAATTTTTCACTTTCTTTCATAGCAGAAACAAAATCACTCATTTTGCTTTCAACTTGTCACATTCATTAACTTTGCCTGTTTCCTGTCATATATCAAGACTTAATTAAAGAATGTGGAAGCAGTGGTGCATGACTTAAACCCCAGCACTTTGTCAGGGGGTATAAGAAGATCAAGAGTACAGGGCCAGACTCAGCTACATAGTGAGTGTGAGGATAGCCTAGGTTCCATAATTCTCAACATATAAATAAGTAAATAAATAGGCAAATTAATTACTACATTAATTCAAAACCTATCCATAGTTTTTATGTAGTTTCCCTTCTACTACATTCTCACAAAATATGGTACCTTCAGATCTGTCACAGAAGAAACTGAACAGCATCTTGATCTTTGGTGTGCTTTTAGATTGTGAGCTCTACATGAGAGGTAGAACTCGGAGATTGGCATCTTACAAGGCAGGCCAAGCCCTGTTCTTATTTGTGCAGCCTTGCAATCTATTGTTGAAATCCTGGATCACACTTTAATATGAAAGCTCAATATTACAAATAATAAAATGGTTTAAATCATAGATAGTCATGAGGCTGTTCAGAGGAATTTGAGGAGTGTCAAAAACAACTGATTTGTGATGTGATCAAGAAAGCTGCAGCTGAATCTTGGTGGTTATAGTTCCTGATAGTAAGAAAGTTCCTTTATGGTCAAACCTACAAAAGCAAATTCTACAGAAAAGCTACTACATCAAAACTCAAGAAGATATGGTATGTGTCCACGCATAATAGCTAAAGACAACTCTTCATCTCACCCTCTCCACCATGTTTTCCAGATCACAGTGAGAAATAACCTAAAAGAGAGGTCTAGTCCATTATAACATGGGAGAGAAAAAATGTCATCTTACACAGTAAATATGCCACCCACACCATTAATGAATATATATATATATGTACATATATAATGAATATATATATATTTAATCCACAACACAGAATTCACTATGATACCTCCATCATTTTAGGTAGTCCACTTATTATTTCTTTGGAGAGCATGCTCCGATTTGATTTTATTTGGAAATAAACATCCGTTTAAACTGTGTCATTTGATTAAGTCAATTCCATTCAAATGAAGAGACCTATAGACTCCTGTAACATACTTAGTTGTAGGTTCAAAGACCTTGACTTATGTAAATTTTATATCTAGGTCTTGTCACAGTACCTGGGAAAGAGCAGGGTAACTATAAATATTCATTGAACAAGGGAATGTATGATTTATACAGAGGAAAAGAATTACTAATACCACAAATTTTCATGTGATTTCCATATGTGATTTTAGTGGCAGATGTTTCTGGATTTTAAGCAAAAATATACTAGTGTACAGTATTGATTAGAACAAGCAGAGATTCCAGTTTTGCCTTCTTTTGCTAAGATTTCTCAGAACAGTTTAAAAGGCATGGTTGTAGTAGAAATCTCAACAAAACAAAAAATTAAGTATGGAATCTGAAGTGAAGTGAGACTAAGGCTTAAAAAATAGAAAGCTATCATGGCACCACTTAACCAGAATAGATCATTCAACTGCAGCATATTGGTCTTCTTTTTGTAGTCAATTCATATTTACTTGGTAAGGAAACACCTGGCCCATGAAGTAATTAGATATGGAACTGAAGTGACTTCATATTTAATACAATGCTTTGGGACAAACCTTACATTTCTCCAGGCCCCTCAGCCATTCATTTACATAAATTATATAATAATGCAATTTGGAAATAATACTTTGCCTATATTAATTAGCATCACAGTAGCTGAGTTAGTTTTGCTCTTAGAAATTATTCTATCCCTATGTTCCCTCTAGGTTTATTTAGTTCTACATAAATAATAGATATTCAGTAACTACTTATGGAGTTTAAAAATTGTTAGAGACTTACTAATGCTACATTTCTCTAAATAAATGAAGGAAAAGAGGCACATTTTTGAAAGGTATTTCATCCTCTTCATTTTGCTTTTAATCAAGAATCTCTGCCATTATTAACTCTGCCTTAAATTGTGTAGCTAGACTGTCAGAATACCGTATGAAACCTCATGAAAAAACAGGCTATGAAACTTAGTGGTGTCTACCATAAAGATTTTGTTCAAGGCATATTTCACTATATTTTGTAGTGTCCTCTTTATGATGACCCTTGGGGAAATTTCTTACAGGTTTTAGTAGCAAGAATAATTGCACTTCTCATGAGTAAATTGGTTTGCCTTATCATGGATGTTGTAAATTATGAAATTGATCAGATTTCTCTTTTTATTTGGCCGCTAGGAAACTTAAAGTCAAATTGAAATCCATCTGGCAGGAAGTCTACAGGTCTTTACAGTTTGATTCCCTTTTAAGACAACTCTGATAATACTTTCATTTATTATCACTACAGAAACTTCCTTTTCTTTCTTTCCCCTCATATATCGCTTCTAATTCAGCATAATTCCTGTAATTGTGTATCTTTGTGAATCATACAATGTTCCTTGCAAAGTATTGGTCTTGATGGTAAAAAGTGCTGTGAATTAAGTGAAAATTGGGGCCTACTATCAGTTATTGTAGCTCATGTCATGTGCATATATTATGCTATTTACTTCTCTGTTTTTACATATATGCAGGGCGGCATTCTGAATTTTTCCTTTCTCCCCTCCTAACTTTATCAAGCCTCCTTTCAGTACTACTTTGCCTAAAATTTTCTACTGGCAATTACAGTATAGTTCTTCAATTGTTTTTCAATTCAAGTATGTTTTGTTGATAAAAGATATTGTAAGGAATTAACACTAATTTCTTTACATTGTTCAAATCGTTCAACACCTTATTATGTGAAAGTCATAACAAACTTCTAAATTATTTGCCATGGTTATTTTTGTAGGAAATTCTTTTGAACACTTTATGTATCTATGCTGGATAGTTTCATTTATCACCTTGACACATCTGGGTGGAAGGAACCTCAATTGTGCAATGTCTTCCATAGGCTTTGCCTATGGCCATGTCTGTGGGACGTGTTCTTGACTATTGAGATATGTGGAGACCACCAACCCACTATGGGTCATACAACTCCTGGGAAGGTGGCCCTATGTTGGATAATAAAGCAGGCTTAGCATGGGCCTGGGGAGCAAGCGAGTAAGTAGTCTTCCCTCTATGATCTGTGTATCAGCTTTGGCCTCCATGTTATTGCTCTGAGTTCATGCCTTGACTTCTGTTGATGACAGACTCTGATCAA